GACAGCCAGGGCTACACAGAGAAACCCTGTCTCAAAAAAAAAAAAAAAAAAAGACAAACCAAGCAAACACTGGTCGTACATTCCTGTAACCCCAGAACTTCAGGGAGGGTGGGTGGCTGGGGCTTGCTGCCCAACAGCCAAGTTCTAGGACCAACACCAACAAGAGAGCCAGAGTGAACGGAATGAGACCAAGTGGTGGAGCAGCACACGGATGCCCTGCTCCACCCTGTGCCCACACGCATACACGTACGTGCACACATACGCTATGAAATAATCTTTTTGTACACTGTTAAGATGTGTCTTTGCCAAGGTACCTTCCGATTGGTTTAATAAAAGGCCAATAACCAGGCAGAGGTTAGGTGGGAGGGCCAAACTGAGAGGATGCTGGGAAGAAGGGCGGAGTCACAAGGAGTCGCCAGGAGATTCAGGTTGAAAAAAATACCACCACGTAGTAGATCATAGATAAGAAATATGAATTAATTTAAGTTGTGAGAGCTAGTTAGTAACAAGCCTAAGTTATCAGCAGAGCATTTATAATTAATAATAAGTCTCTGTGTGGTTATTTGAGAGCTGGCTGACAGGACAGAAAAGTCAGCCTACACACACACACACACACACACACACACACACACACACCACCTGATGTCCTGCTCTAACCTGTACCCACATGTACAGGTGTGCACACACACATACACACAAACCCATGGAAGCCTGGACTGCAGCTGACGCTTACTGTCACAGGATTCTGAGGGCAGCCTGGCTATAGAGTGAGACTGTCTCAAAAACTGAAACAAAGGCCAGGTGGTGGCGGTGGTGGCGCACGCCTTTAATCCCAGCACTCGGGAGGAAGAGGCAGGCGGATCTCTGTGAGTTCAAGGCCAGCCTGGTCTACAGAGTGAGTTCCAGGACAGCCAAGGCTACACAGAGAAACTGTGTCTCAAAAAACAAAAACAAAAAAACAAAAAAACAAAAAACAAAACTAAGAAAGTAACAGAGCTGTAAATGACAGGGATGGCTGTCTTCCAGATCCTGGGGGACAAAAGTCTGCCACCACAGTGTCACAGAACCAGTGCCTGCTGGATGCTCCAGGCGGGCGTTCTCCAGGAGGCTGCTGACCACTGCCCTCTCCCTCCCCCTCTCCTCGTTTTCACAGGGCTGCATCTCCACAGCCTGTTTCCTGCAGAGTCTATCTTCTCTATTTTACTTAGACTTTTTGGAGACAGGGTCTCATGTATCTGAGGCTGGCCTTGAACTCCTGACCCTTCCACCTCGGCCTCCTGAGTGCTGGATGAGAAGTGCATGCGACCATACCCAGCCACCTCCTGTTTTTAGAAGGTGCCAGTGACCTCACCAATCCCATCCACAGAGCCCTTTCACCAAGAAAGGTCTCCCTGCCAGGTCCTGGAGCTGAGCAGAGACAGACAGATGGCTTTCACAGGCCACCATCCAGATGCTATGGGGGTGCACCCCACTCCCTGGAGGAGCTTCTAGAGAGGGGGGCAGTAATGAGGGAGTCACTCCTATCCTGACAGCAGTGGGGTATTTCCTCTGCAAAGGTCACAGATGGTAGCCCTGGTAGCTGGCAGCAAAGGAGAAAGTGCCAAAGGGCCAGCGAGATGGCTCAGCAGGTAGGAAGGTGATTGCTGCCAAGCCTGATGAACTAGGTTCAATCTCCAGGACTCACATGACAGAAGGCAAGAACCAATTCCAGCAAGCGGTCCACTGCTCTCTGATCTCCACACGTGTGCCGTGGCACACGCGCACACACACACACACACACACACACACACACACAGTGAATAACAAATGTTCCAGGCCCTATTCTCAGCAAAGCCACCCCTGTCACACATAAAGGCCAGGAAACCCCCACTCAGCCCAGGCAGGCCATCCCGTATTACTGTTTCTGTGGAGACGGGGCCTGGCTGTGCGGTCCAGCTGGCCTCAATACTGGTCTCTAGGCTCCTCATGATTCAGCCTCCACAGCATCTGGGACAACATACGCGTACCACCACACCTAGCTGACAAAGGACATTCTGTGGCCCATGGCCTGTGGCCTAAGATACTCAGTTACACCAGGAACCCAGTGTCCCAAGCCAATGGCTAGCAAGCGGCACCCCACCCCACCCGCCCTCGCCAGCTGCCCGCCTCCTTGCCCGGGCCACCAGCCCCTCTCTGCACGTTCCACACTGGCAGTCTGCAGTGCTCCGCCATCTTCCTAGGTCACAGAGATCAGGACGTGGCACGGATACCTGGGTCCAGGGTGCAGTCCCCAAGGGGCCGAGAGGTGAGGATCCCCACATGTCTAGGACAACAGACAGAGTACTCCAGCACCACCCCACAGAGCACGGGGTAGCAAAGGTGCAGGTACAAGCTGGTGGCCCCAGACGGACAGGAACTACTAAAGGAGCCGGTGAGGCAGGCCAGCAGGCGAAGGAGCTTGCCGCCAAGCCTAACGACCGACTGGGACCCTGGGACCCACGTGGTGGTGGAGAGAAGCAGCTCCCACAAGCTGTGGTCTGACCTCACAGCCATAACTCTCAAAATAAATCAAAATGCAGTTGGTTTTTTTTTTCAAACAATGTTAAATGGGTAAGTTCTGACTTTATGTCTTTTTTCGTGTGTGGATGTGGCTGTGTGTACACGTGTGTACAGACTACAGGCCAGCCTCAGGCAAACTGTTCATCTTTCTTTTTCCTTTTCTTTTTTTTTCAGAGCTGAGGACCGAACCCAGGGCCTTGCGCTTGCTAAGCGAGCGCTCTACCACTGAGCTAAATCCCCAACACCTCGTTTTTCAAGACAGGGTTTCTCTGTGTAGCCCTGGCTGTCCTGGAACTCTCTCGGTAGACCGGGCCGGCTGGTGGGCCCTGACATCGCCTAACTGCCTCCATAGGCTGCCAGTGTGGGCACATGCTTCTGACAGACTGCCGGGGGTCAAAATGCAGTCCTCACACTTCTCTAAGCCACATCCTTAGCACCTTTACCTTTCCTTTAAGATCTGTTCTGCTGTATAGCCTAGGCTGTCTTTGAAAGGTCTCAACGTCACGGCGATCCTCCTGCCTCAACCCCCAGACTGCGGAGAGACAGGCGTGTGCTATCACACCCCACCTGCTGGGTGTATTTTGAACTCGGGCCACTTACGGACATCGCACGCGTAGAGGTCAGAGGACAAGTCTGAGGTCGGTTCTCCCTCAGGCTTGGCGGAAAGCGCCTTTCCCCACCGTGTTAGCTCAAGGAGGGACGAAGCACGGTTCGTGCTGCGTGATGACTGTGAGAACTGGGCGTGGAGGCCAGACGTACAGGTGAAGGCATGTGCTGCCGGAACAAGCGTGACCACAGGGAGGCAAAGCGGCCGAGCTGCGGATGGGGCAGACGCCTGCGGCACGGTGAAACTGCTCGGCAAGATGGTGTGTGGCCGCAGGACTCAACCAGCAAACCATAAGCCAGGGAGTGCCGCAGGTCCCACCAACCACACTTCTCCACTCCACTCCAACCAAGCAAGCTCTTAAACCCTTTCCGGATAGGCATGGTGGCACACAGGGAGTGGAGGCAGGAGCATCAAGCCTTCATCCTCAGCAACTCAGTGAGTTCAGGGCTAGCCTTTGCTACAGAAGACCCTGCCTCAACAGTCTTTTCCATAATCATTCATTCCCAATTCCTGGAAGAAACCAGACTTCCATCGAAACGTCGGCCATGGAACGCTCTGTTCTGTTTACACTGCAAACATTTGACACCAACTGTATGCAGACACCTACTATATGCTGGGAACCAGAAGAGCCTCAGCTGCCCTGAACTGTGAGTGACACAGGGGTGACACACTTTTTATTGGTTCATTCATTCGCCAACCATGACTCTCTCTATGTGCTGAGGGAGAACATGAGTGCCCGCATCACACAGGGGACTGGGTCTTCTCAGAGTGAGAAAAGGGCACATCCCAACACACACTTATCTGTGAGGCCAGTCTCGCAGAAACGAGAAACTGGTTATAAAGTCACCAAAGGCTCCAGCTGACCTGTGTCCCTGGCAGGTCACCTGGGAAGCAGGAAGTGGGTCTCAGAAACCAGGAACATGGGCGTCTGCAACCTAGGCCCAAGAGTGCGCAGAACATGCCACACGGCGAGGTCCCTGCCGCCCACACTAAGCATCATCATGTCCTTGACCCTGGAGGACCGTCCAACACCACACACCTGACGTGGAAGGGTCAGGCACCAGGCCACTCCACTGTGGCCAGGAACCCAGCAGGACCAGCCACCTGAGGCAGTCACACCTTCCATCCTGTCTCAGGGCCAGCTGTTCCCTGTCATGAATGTTCCCCATCACCTGGTCCCCAGCACAGAGGCTGCACAGGAACCAAGCAGCTGCCTCCATGCTGATTCCAAACCTCTGGGGACCCCATGGAGGGCCACTTAGCTATCCAAGAGGAACAACCTCTGCCTCATGGCAGAAGTAGGAATACCCAAGGCGGCCGAGGTGACAAGTTACAGCACCCCCTCCTCAGGTAGCAATGATGAGGTGACCTATCCACTCAGGTAGCACAAAGGGTGACAACTACCTCCTCAGGTAGCAACAGTGGGACCCCTTACTCCCACAAGTAAGCATGAAGGGTAACAACTGTCCCCTCAGGCAGCAATGATGGGGCCACCTGTCCCCGCAGGTAGCAATAAAGGATGACACCTGACCCCTCAGGTAGCAACGATGAAGACGTACGTCCCCCGAGGTAGCAATGATGGAGTCCCTGTCCCATCAGGCAGCAATCAGGGGGGTGACACGTGTCCATTCTGGTAGCTATGAAGAGGCGCACGTCCCCTCAGGTAGCAATGATGGATGACACCTGTCCCCTCAGGTAGCTGCGACGGGACCACCTGTCCAGTCCAAAGAGCAATCTCGCGAGCAGCCGCTCGGCACCGGCTGGCGGCGTGGGGACACCTGCGGCGGCCGCAGCCCCGCCCCCGCGTCTCTCCCTCCTCCCCTCCCTCCTCCCCTCCCCTCCCCCGCGCTCTCACCCGTGCGGCCCGCGTCAGGCTCAGGTCCTTCATGACCTCCTCGAAGGCCGCCGTCTCCTCCGCTTGCTTCTGGTTGTGCAGTGCGATCTTCTCGCTAAATTTCCGCGGATTGTTCGAAGTCGCCATCTTCTCGCCGCCGCCTCCTCCTCCTCCTCCTCCTCCACCTCTTCACCCCCCCCCCACTCGCGGGCGCCACTGCGCAGGCGCCGGCCGGGCCCACGGCTTCAGAGCAATGCGCAGATGCAAACGCGGCCCGGAGCATGGCGCAGGCGCACTGGAGCGGCGCGCGGCGCGGGGGTGAGACGCATGCGCGCACCTAGGCAGCGCGTTGGGAAGCCGGGAGGGACGTGGCTACGCACGCGCACTGAGGCGCGCGCGGTCCGCTGGACGGTAGTCGCCTGGTTGTGGGTCCTGTTCCTCCCCCGAGTGACTTGAGCGGCGGAGGGAGCGGCACGGACACGGGCAGCACTGGTGCATGCATTCACTGGACTCCAGCTGCCACTGAGCAGTTATGGAGCTCCCGCTGTATACCAGGGCACCGGCGTGAACCCGCCGCCGTGGTCCCTGGGCTACTGGGGTACACGGCCGGGCACGGGAGCAGGAGGCCCGAGGTGCAGCTTCTGGGCATAGCCTGGCTCGGCACACAGAAGCCGGGGTCGGTCCCCAGCAACACACACACGCAATTATCATAATAAGGTTTCAGATCTAGAGAAATGTGCCGCACCTTCTAAGAACACCGACACTGCTGGGTGGGATGGCGCAGAATGCTGGAGCCAGGGGATCCGGAGTTCAAACCATCCTTAGCTGCAGAGTGAGTTCGGTCAGCCCGTGACACAGGAGACTCAGAGGTTAAGGGCACCTGCTGCCCTAGTGAAGAACCCGGCTTTGGATCCCAGCACACAGGTGGAGCAGCTCACAAGCCCTTGGTTGGAGAGGGTGGAATATTCCAGATGTCCTGTCCTGGTCTCTACATGCTCGTAAATAGATGCAAAACACTTGCATGGATGCAACACACACACACTCCGGTTCTAGAGCATCCAACGCCCTCTTCTGCCCTCGGCGAGCGCGCGCGCACGTGCACACACACACACACACACACACACACGATGCATAAGTAAAGTTTACTTTTTTTGTTTTGTTTTGTTTTTCGAGACAGGGTTTCTCTGTGTAGCTTTGCGCCTTTCCTGGAACTCACTTGGTAGCCCAGGCTGGCCTCGAACTCACAGAGATCCGCCTGGCTCTGCCTCCCGAGTGCTGGGATTAAAGGCGTGCGCCACCACCGCCCGGCTAAAGTTTACTTTTAACTTAGAAATATTAGAGCTATGCTCCTCTCTGAATGGAGGAGGTGTGGATGGGGGTGGGTAGACAAGAGGTGGGGGGAGGGAACAGGAGGAGAGGAGAGAGGGGATACTGTTCGGTATCTAAAATAAATGAAAAGTTTTAATAAAAAAAAAATTAGATCTAGGGAGATGGCTCCATGGGTACAAGCATGGGAACCTGAGTCTGAATCTCCAGCATACAAATAACAACCAGGCATGGCCATGTGACCTCGGTGTTAGGGAGGTGAACTCAAGTCATTGTAGCTGATAGATGAGATCCATGTTCAGTGGGAGACCCTGCCTCAAAGGAATAGGTAGAGGGGAATGGAGAAAGACATCCAACACCTTCCTCTGGCATATACACAGCAGTAAGTCATGGAAGCTGGGCATAGGGATACACATGTCATCAGAACACATAGGAGGCTGAGGCAGGAGGATCAGGAGTTCAAAGTCATCCTTGGCTACAATAGAGAATTCAAGGCCAGCCTGAGAGACTGTCTCGAAAGACAAAAGAAGTAAAAAGAAAAAGAGCAGGGCAGTGGTGCACGCCTTTAATCCCAGCACTCAGGAGGCAGAGGCAGGCAGATCTCTGTGAGTTCGAGGCCAGCCTGGTCTACAGAGTAAGTTCCAGGACAGGCTCCAAAGCTACACAGAGAAACCCTGTCTCGAAGAAGAAAAAAAAAAAAAGAGAGAAGAAAGAAAGGAAGAAAAGAAAAAGAGATCAATGATCAGACAGATCCAAAAGCAGTACTGTGGGGAAAGCTTGCTGCCTCCACCAGTGCTAGGGAGTTGCAGGCTTTTGTGAGGCTCACTCCATGCCCCAGAGCACGAACCCCCGGGTCATCTTTAGTGCCATTCCGTTCTCACTCCATATTGCAGGTCCCCTCATCCAGACACTTCATCGGGTGGCCTGGAGTCTGCAGCGCCTCTGACTCCTTGCTGTGTGTGTCCAGCCTAGTCTTGTCAAAGCTGTCTGCTTTTCCATGAATGCTCACAGGAGGGCCAGAAACCCAACCTTGGTCAGGAATAAAAGGGGGAACTGAGTCTCCCCAGTGGCAGAGGTGGCCAGGAAGCAGTCAAGCTGGGAGCAACAGCTAGCTGTCTCCAGTCACACAGAGGGGTCCTAGTCACCAATGTGGAGTTCACACCCCAGGGTTGGCAGCAAGATGGAATGGGGAAGCAGAAGGCTAGGACCTCCTCTTTGGCGAGAGTGACACTAGAGGACACACCCACATTTGTCAGACTTTCCAGAGGGGCAGCAAGTACCCACATAATATAACAGGTGGGTGGAGAGGACGGATGCACAGGAGGATGGTAGTTACAGGACAGGAAGGGAGAGGACAGACTGTGGGAGGCGTTCTGGTTTTTGAGACAGGGTATCGTGCAGCCCAGGCTGGCCTTGAATCTGTGGAAAATTTCCTGTGTATCTTCTTGAGTGCTTGGATGACAGCGCTAAACCACCACACCCAGTCTTTCTTCTCCCTGATAGGGTCTCATGTAGCCCAGGCTAGCCTCAAACTCCCTATATAGCTGAAAATGACTTTAAACTTCTGATCCTCCTGCCTCAGACTTTCAAGCCCATGGGTCACCACAGTTTTGAGCACTTTCTGAGGGGTGTGTGTGTGTGTGTGTGTGTGTGTGTGTGTGCGCGCACACGCTCAGACGCCCACGCATGGGAAGGAAGGCACATGCATCTATAGAGGTCTGAGATTCAATTCTGAAACTTAGTTACTGTAGGAAATGGAACACACACACTCCCATGAACTCAGGGTCTTCCTTGGTCACTCCCACCTTCATTTTTGTGTCACGGCCTCTCACTGGGCCCAGAGATTGCTGACTGGCCAGCAAGTCCCAAGAATCCTCCAGTCTCCACCTCCCTTGTGCTGGGATTACAGATGCTTCCTGCCATGACAGACATTTCCTGTGAATACTGGGGATTGGAACTCGGGTCAGGCTTGCAAGGCTGACCCTTCATGGGGTACCAGCACCGAGGAGCCTGAGGCATGATGACAGAAGCCAACCTGGGCTGCAGAGCAAGACCCTCCTCAAAAATGAAAATCAGGGGCTGGAGAGATGGCTCAGTGGTTAAGAGCACTGACTGCTCTTCCAGAGGACCTGGGTTCAATTCCCAGCACCCACATGGCAGCTCACAACCAGCTGTAACTCTAGTTCTAGGGGATCCAGACATACATGAAGGCAAACACCAATGCACATAAAATAAGTAAATTAATTATTTTTAAAAAATTAAAAACACCGTTTTAAAAAAATGAAAGTCAAGGGGGTGGAGGGAGGGCTATCTCCAGGGTTTGCTGGTCTTCCAAATGACTCCAGTTTTGTTCCCAGTACCCACAGGAGGCAGCCCACGACACCTGTCACTCCAGTCCCCAGAGGGATCAACTCCTCCTGAGGCACCTGCACTCTCATTCCCACACACAAACAGGGAGAGAGGAGGGGGACTTAGAGCGAAATCAAGATCACACACAGGTCTGCAGTGCAGAGGTGACTGTGAAAGAGACCGCACAGAGGATGGAACCTCGAGGTGCCAAGACTGGGGGGCCTATCCTGCATCCAGTGCTCAGGCTAGGGAACCAGGCCTTGCACACGAGGCCACTGTGCTCCCCCACACCTTTCCTTGGTCCATCTTTTCCATCTGGCACTGCCTGAGACCACAATTTCTGTCCAGCAGAGCAGAGTTGGGACACACTCCTGTCTGCCAGCTAGTTCTTGCCGTCATCTTGAGAGGTCAGAGGGCACAGACAGGGCCCTCAGCTGCCAGAAACAGATTAAACATGGGGCCACGGCTGGGACTGGGCCCCAACTACAGTCTCAGCTTCCTTCCCACATGGCTTTAGTGAACTTTAACGTGTGTTGGTTAAATACCAGCTGACTCTAAGCTCAGATCTCAAGGGAGCCCATGACAACCACAGGCAAATAGAGGAGAGGGCTGGAAGGATGCAAAGGTCTGCACACCCCATTCCCTCCACAGCCCCGCCTACAGCTGGATCTTTCCTGACTCCCAGGTGGTGGAAGTGCCAGCCTGCTTATTGGGCAGGGGCTTGACCATGACCTGAGCGTTCCTGATCCACTGACCAACCCCTCAGGCCTGATGGAGGTGATGTGGAGAGAATCAATAGAGGGGTCCCTCTTTCTTTTTTGCTCAAAGGAAACTGCAGGATGTGGTGGCACACACCCGTCACCCAGCACTGGGGACACTGAGGTGGGAGGACTGAGACTTCCGGGGCGGGGCCCAGAGGTGGCTCAGTAGATGGTGTGGTGGTTTGACTAAGAATGGCCCCAAAATGGCCGGGCGGTGGTGGCGCACGCCTTCAATCCCAGCACTTGGGAGGCAGAGCCAGGCGGATCTCTGTGAGTTCGAGGCCAGCCTGGTCTACAGAGCGAGTTCCAGGACAGGCTCCAAAACTACACAGACAAACCCTGCCTCAAAAAAAAGAAAAAAAAAAAAAAAGAATGGCCCCAAAGATGTGGTGTCGCACACCTTTAATCTTAGCACTCTAGAGGCAGAGGCAGGCAGAGCAAGTGTTCCAGGACAGCCAGGGCTACTCAGAGTAATCCCATCTAAAAAAAAAAAAAGCCCCACACGCTCCTATAGTCACATGCAAGTGTCACAATTTGATAGAGTAGAAGGGTTAGTTAGTTAGGAGGTGTGGCCTTGCTGGAGGAAGTGTGTCACTGTAGGGAAGGGCTTTGATCTCCTATGCTCAAGCTACGCCTAGTTCAGCTCACTTCCTGTTACCTGCAGATAAAAATGTAGAATTCGCAGCTCCTTCTCCAGCACCATGTCTGCCTGCACACCATGTCCCGGTGTGAGGATAA